CCGCGGGCTGCGCTGGACAATCGCGGCAATTGGACTAATTGCCAGACGTAATTATCCGGAATTAATCGAGATAAACCGCTTAATTATCGCGTCTCGTACAGCGCTCGTTTGTTTCTCAGTATATCCGTTAGCTGATTTCGGACAGGCGAAATGCCGCTAAACGCGCGCTAATTATCATCGGCGGGGCATCGGGGCGACTGACAAGTCGGCGCGCACGTTTCTGCACGCCAGAGAGAACGCCGCGGAAAGTTGCAATCTGGAAGGATATTTAAATGCAAATATACCAGCGTAGTCAACGTGTCCCGGCCGCGGATTAAGCTCCGGCATTTCTCTCCGAGCATGTAAGAAAAAAACTTTCGAGCAAGTATTAAGTCGTGCGAGAGCGTTACGTTGAATCCGCGAGGGGTCCCTTTTTCTTTAATAAGAGAATATTTTTCTCCAATGGGGATTTCCACTTCGTTCCTGCCTTTTAATTAAATGGACGTGACGTCTAGCTAAAAAAAAAAAAAGAAAGAAAAGAAGGCAGGAAAGAAGTTATTCGCGATGTCGTTGATACACCGTTGAATCGATTTTAGCGCTCGCTAAAAGTTTTGTTATCTAAATGCGTCCGTATAGAAAAGATTATATTATGCAAATGCGAGCTGACGAAGTCGGCGGAAATGGCGTCGGCAGCTTTTACCGCGCGTTTAGTTATTCTGTGAATTGCTAGGTTGCACCAAGCGTGCACAGAAAAAAAGAATATTTCTATTTGAAAAATATTTATATTTATATATATATATATATATATATATATATATATATAATGCTACGTAACGTCATTTTTAAGATGTACATGAAATGTTAAAAATTATTTTCTACTATAAATATAAATATTTTATATATATATAATATATATATATATATATATATATAGAGAAAAATATTCATTATATATATATATATATATATATATATATATATATAAACGAAGATCAATTGCATCAATATATCCTATATGATTCAACAAAGAAAACATATAATCTTATTATAAAATAGATGATATTATTTTCTATATAATAATTATGAAATGAGACATTATTAGATAACACAGGTCTACAAATTAAAAAAAGTTGTCTGTGCTGGGGGTCTGACTAGGTGTACTATACGTATTTTGGGCTGCTGAATCTAAATCCGATGTCAGATTTGCTCCATCACCCTTGAGTTTCCCGGAAATTTGAGGAAATCGTGAAAAGGAGCAGATATCCAGGTTTGTACGGAGACATGTATTCAAGAAAAATTCTAGAGTGACAAATAATTCCATAACCCCACAACCAACGTTGAAAACACATTATGTACTTCAACATGGAAAACATTCTACACATCCCCTTACGGGGCAGTTGTCATCGTCTCCAACATCCTCTGAAGCAGCAGGATTTATCTGATCGACGATCATATATTGTAGAATTGATATTTCGAATAGAAAAAAAATTCCATCTCGTGGACAATAACATGAATGTGACCATGATAAGACACGCATAGATTAGATTTTCTAATCTATGCGATGTTAAAGGATTGATGGGTGAACTAAAACCGAATATGTATGATGGTATATGAGTTATTGGGTTATTGGGTTGTTCTAGTCATCAGATGTTGAAGTACATAATGTATTTTCAACGTTGGATGTGAGGTTATGGGGTTATTTGTCACTCTAGAATTTTTCTTGAATACATGTCTCCGTAAAAACCTGGATATCTGCTCCTTTTCACGATTTCCCCAAATTTCCGGGAAACTCAAGGGTGATGGAGCAAATCTGACACCGGATTTGGATTCAGCAGCCCATACGTATAGTACACCTAGTCAGACCCCCAGCACAGACAACTTTTTTTAAATTGTGGGCCTGTGTAATCAAATTATTTTTTAATAGATAAGAATATATATTCTTATTATAAAATAATTTTTATGAATGGAAAACAAAGTATTGAAAATATAATATTTTTAAATGTCGAAGATATCATTATCATCAAAATAATCATAATGTAAATTTCTTATGAGACTATTGCAATATTTGACTGAAACTGTAACACTGAAAGTCAATACTTCAAAATTCCTTTAACGAAATTATATATCGTTACTTACACATGAAACAATGATTGATAATTTCGATATATTAGTTTTAAACGGATATTAATTTTTTCTATATGAAGGAAACGCTACACGTCGCGTTGTGTCTCGCGACTTACCGGAGACTGCGTTTCGCATTCGCACATGACATGCATACGGCCTGTGATTTGCGCGAAGCGCTGCTTCGTGCGGATTAAGTATTCCGCGCCGTGCGAATTACACGAGACAAACCGTGATGCAGAAGAATGAAAGGAAAAAAAAGACGCGGCGAAAGAAAAACATCCAGCGAAATAACCAGAAATTTACGCGTGGAATCATTCGCCGCGTGCAAAAAAAAAATAAAAAAAGACAAGAGGGAAGCAAAATACAAAAGAGTCGTGTGAAAAAGGTCCGCCGCGGATATCGGGGATGTGAGCCGCGCGCGGCGCGGGCTTTATGGTCTTCCAATGAACATTTGCGAAAAACGAGCCGAATCAAAAAAAAAGAAAAAAAATCGCGAAAAAGAGCAGTGCGTTGCAAATACGGCGGCAATCAACGCGGCAAAAATGCGTATCGACATCCGGCGAAAACAGCTTAATCAACGCGTCGGGATGTATGGCGCGGGTACGACGGCTTGATTAAATCGCCGCGAGATATGTGACTCCGCATGTCGGTCGCGCCTCGTCATTCTGCCGGAATAAGTTCTCAGTACGCAATGCTGTTTCGCCGTCTAGGCTCCTTTTCGCGAACGGCACTCGTTCGTTCATGCCAGGTTGGCTCGCTCTTCGCGTCACGGCCGCATCCCGATATGCCAATCAAGAGATGCGGTATCGTCTGGCGCCAAGTGAACGCGCAAAGCGAGGTTAAGGGTTTGCAGGAGTTATAAGGGAGACCTCTCGCGGAGAACCGCGAATTAGGTACAGGCATTGACGCATTTTGATCAAAATACGGAGAGAATCACTTTGTGTTCGCGATATTTGCAATCAGGAGAAACGTCCGGGAGCTATAAAGCGTGTTTAGGGAAAAAGACGAAATAAAGATCGGATGAATTATTTGAATAAATATTCGTATGCGGCGCAACACGAGTCTATATTTTTATTTATTATAAATTTTCAAGAGCCTAAATACAAAATCGAGCTCTGTAGCATCTTCCTTGACATCTTCCTTGTCACTTGTGCAAGGAAGATGCCAACAAAATTTTGATGAGCAAATATAATGGCATGACGAAATACGTCAAATTGCAGAAATGGAAAGTGTAGTCCAGCTGCACTAACTTACAGTTATTACGTCCGCGCGAGCATTAGTATTCGCGTGTGTGTGGACATCGGGGATAAATATACCGATAAACATTACGTTCTTTTCTCGAAAACTTTGAATATTCTAATTAATATATTGATTTGAAGCTTATACCACGAGTAGATTAAGAATATCAAGTGATCTTGTTCTCGTAATCGTTTGGGAGGTCCCAAACAGCATTAATATGCTGTTTGGGATCCATATAAATGTCCTATATTTTAGAATTTCGAAATTACATCTTCTCAAGTAACTAATTGTTGTAACTGACGATATAAACATCATTGAGGCAATTTTCTTCTATGTATTAATGTCCCTATATATTAATTAATATTTTGTTCTGTAATGACAAAATACGAAAATGCAGCAACATAGCCATCTTGCTCTGGTTCAGTTGCCCAGTAGCGCAGAGTAAGACCACGTATGAAATACGTATCTTGATTAGTAGTAGCAGAGTCTCTGCGAGAGGCTTCCACAACTCTCTTGGCGGTCTTTAATTATGGGCCAACTATACCTCGTCTACCCACATGCTTTATTTCATTTATCATTTTATAAATAAAAATTGCATTTATTACCAGAAACAGTATATCATGCATTTGTAAAAAATTTCATTCTAGCTAGTAATACATCGCTTAATTTTATTAAGTCACGATGGAGAATATTAATACAAAATTTCGAAGGACTTGAAAATTTACTCTGCCAGATCAGTTGTTTTCTATTTTTTAACTGTAATATTATTCCGATTTTAATAAAACACGAAGATTTTAATGAAACTCAGGGAATAGTATTTATGTTCTCTCTAAGAGGATCACTTCACAATTTTACACCCATTATTTCTCTTAAGATAAATACTAAAAAAATGAGCAACATACCCCTGGGGCTATATAGACTCGGTCTCCCCTACAACTACGCACATACAACGGTGTTTCGCGTTCTCACCACATAAAGCCTCCACAGAATGTCAGATCAGAATTTGGTCTTGGCTTCTATACAGCCTTAAGATTTACGCATACCCGACAATGACGGCCAAAAGCGCGGAACGATGCCCGCCCGGGGCCGACGTTGCGCACGTGGATTCGCCGTTTTATCGTCCGTAGCGTGACGGCGAGAGACGGCGATGGCCGTCCGGGCAGCCCCGAAGCGGATTTATTCGCGAGCCGGAAATAGCCGGCCGAACGCCATTAAAGGGACGCGGCGCGCGAATCCGCGACCTGTTTTCTGCGCGGGGATAGATTCTTCCGGTTGTCCGGCGGAGATCGCGCGATCGAATTCGTCGGAAACGCGCGTTTGGAATTTGAGCATCCGACGCTCTTTCAGCCGCCCTTCCCCCATCCCCCTCCCACCCGCGCATCGCACGTGCGCCGTCATAAATATACGCTCACAAATTACGATACAGTTACCCGTCCCTCGCCCCCTCCCCCTGCCTCTGCCCGACGCTGATATAGCCGCGAGTTTGTATTTTGATGGCGCGTTTTACGACGACGATTTATCGCGCTTCGTCTCCCCACTTTCCGGAATAAAAGTGCCCGTCGTGCGCCATTGAACGACGTAGTTTCGTCCCCTGTTAATGCCGAATGATTATGGATTCATTTTCGCTTCGATAACGAGAGCTTTTATTTTTTTTACAGAGCAACCGCAGCCAGCCAGCCATCGGATTGAAGCAGACGCCGAAGGCGCGGGTGAGTGTTTGCACGATTTTTGTGTAATATGATGCGAAATCCACAGGACGATTTTTCGCTTCTCTTCGTGCGACGTAAATTATATTTATATTTTGCATGTAAACTTACACAGCGCCGAATTAAAATTTAAATTATCATACTGCCATTTTGGACTGCAAATCGATGGGATGCTGGTATCAATGTCAAAACCAGCCTTTTTAGTAGCCTTTTCTTGCAAATATTTCGAACAATCTTACTCATCGAGAGGCGCTAATTACTATATTAACTATGATACTTAAATCGATATACATGTATATTTTTTCTCTCCGGCAATTATATTGGGAATATGTTTTATAAGCATATACGGTAAAACATGCAATTATCGGTATCCTTTTAATTATTGACACTCTATATCGAGTTTATGAAACTGCTTGAATGAACAAAATTCATTCAAGTAAACGTTCAATCGATTGAACGAATTATATAGTTGCAGTGATGAGTTATCAACTGATTCAATGATTGCGATTCGGTAACTATATCAACACTAATAATTCAAAAATTTGAAAAATTTAGTTATTTACAAAATGATAGAGGACATTTTTGTTCAGTTTTAGCTAATTTACAAGCACATACAACGAGAAATCGTATTTATCGTCACACCTGCTATGTCACGTTGTGTGTAATTGTTTATCAATTTTCTTTAATTAACCCTTCATTTAGCAGATCCAAAAAATTGAAAGGAAATATTTTTAGAGTGTGTAAATGATATAACTAATGTGTCCTGGATGGAGTTGTACTGTTTTCTAGATATAATTTTAAAAATATATTTTGAGCGATTTTCATCATTCAATGGAAAAAGTCAAAACCATTGAAACACCAACGAATAGAATAGGTTCTTCCATAGCAACCTCCTGCATCATTCTGCATCTATTGTTCTTGCACAATAGCTCATGAGAAATCGATGTTGCTTGAGAGCAATATTGAATTAAGAGTTAATAACTCAAAATCTGCAGTGATCGTTTGCAAAGTGATAGAGAACATTTGAGTCTAGTTTGAATTCTGTCTGCGCCTGGGCGGATGTCCGAGTTGTGTCAGACCTTTTGCAAAAAGTAAAATTTATATGCACAAAAAATAGTAAGGTGATCGTGTTAACGTTTATCTGACATGACGTTTAGACGACTTTACGTCATTGATATTTCTGGAGTTAGTTATCCACACACTTTGACATCCCGTTGAAACATATATTATGCTATTACTGATCTGTGTTCATGAATCTTGTATGACGCAAACTACGAATCGCACCGTTTTGTCATCGCAGCTTACATAAAACTGTAAGAGGTACACTCGAACTGACCGCAAATACTGAATATTGAGTTTGAATATAGATCGTACAACTTTTCACAGCAAACTTCTACGAAATCTGAGCACGTAAATTACGGTCGACTGGAGTACTCTGCGCGTACATACGAGCGAGCATAGTCGCTAAATGACATATTTGGTCCGGCGATGTAGCTCGCCACATGTTACGTGAAAGCTTGGATGTCAGTTTGATTCCCACCGGGCCTACCTTTCCGCGAGACTGAGGCAAATAGGAAAAATGTGGGTCGGCGTGCGCGTCTGCGAGTTTGGAAAAAAATTATAAAAAAAGAACAAAAAAAAAGAGAAAGAACGAACAAGTAACGCGCGTTCGATGACAAACGTATATTCCGACTTCGAGGACGTGTCAGAGAATTCAAGTAGCAATCATACGCATCCCTGCTTCTATTTTCTAAATAAATGTCTGATCGATCGTTCCAGAGATCTCTGTTACTCCCGGTAATATCGGCCGCGAAATGAGATAATTTATTTTTATTACTCTCTTCCTCTTTCTCCCCATTCCTTCCCTGCCTCCATTTCCTCTAAATCTTTTTGTCCACAACTCTTTTCCTTATGTACTTTTTCACCCTTACATCCCATCCCCCTCCGTCAGTCAAATGAAAGTCGAAGGACCCGGAAAAAGGGAACGTCGGGAATGCGAACGGTAACGTCGACGGAACGACGTGAAATCGCGCGGTGCAATTTCGCGAGATTGCTCGCTGAGGTAACTCGCCGGGAGGACCATCCTCGTGGAAAAGAGCTTCTTGGGGGGCGCGGGGGTGCGCGTATTTTTTCTCTCATGGCGACATCAGAGACGCACGTTTCACTTCGTCTCAGGAAGGAGAGAGAACGCGGTAGAATTTCATGAGGTAGGTCAGTTGCAAACATCGCGTGTAATTTTTTTATGTCACCATTATTAATTGCAATTTGTACGTTCCTTCTTGTTAAAAACAGCGCTTAGATAAAACAGGTACGTTTCTATTCGTGTAAATCCGAAGAAGGGAAGATCTATAAATTTCTGAATTACGAAATCTAACAGTTTCCGTGACTTTGTGGTCACATCTGCGTTCTTATTAGCAATGTATGAATTCGGGAATTTATGAATCCATAGATCTACGAAATTGCGAATGGGTTCTTAGGTACGACCTAGGATTTTACAAGTTTGTAAATCAACGAATTTGCGTGCGGCTTCCTGACCTGTAAAAATACGACATTTACCTACTCACACTTTGTCGTTTCATATCAAGTTTTTGAACGTATGTGGAATACGTAGCGTTTCAAGCTGGCATCTATGATATGCGGTCGCATGCCCAATTATGCTTTACGAAATAGATCGATACACGTTGCGTCGCTTACGATTGGTAACCATCGTCGGTTGGGAGGTTGATCCCGCAGTCTAATTTAACTAGTTGGCGGGATAAGATTGTGCCCCGGAGGTTGCACCATCGGCATACATAAGGCATCTGCGCATACATATGTGTATACAAGGGTGGCAAAATGTACGAAAGGCCGACGGATTTGCACGCATTCAAACGGATAAACGTAAAGATCAAACGGATGTTTCTCCTCGCCGAAAGTTGCCTGAATTAAACCCGCAAGTCCGCGATTTTAATTACGGAATTTGCTTCGTAATTACTGAAAACATTATTGTCGTGTACAAAGGAAAATATAAAAAATATTCTACTGCTAGGAAAAACTCTGATTAATTTACTTTCCCTCCCTTAAGTAATCATTATCTTCGACAAATTTTCTTTCTTCCTCGATAACAGTTTTAAAATATATATATATATATATATATTCATCAGAAATTTGAAAAAAGTTCATTATCACACTAAGGAGAGAAAATCTAAAAAATAAAGAAAATATTTATTTGGCACTAATAACATATTTACTTGAAACTAAATTCTTTTACGTAAATAGGATGAACAAACAATAAAAAATATTTTGTATTTGTGTTGAAATCGATCTATGTAGAAACTTTTGTGTTAAATTTCCTACATATCCATGTGTTAATTTGATATATCGATATGTAAGAAATGTTGTGTTATTTTTAGTGTTCTGCGTTCAGTTCATATTCACCATTTTTAAATGTTATAAAATAACACAATAGTGTCTAAGTGTTACACTTCTATTAATTTTCGACATATTTTTGTATCATTTGTTTACATATTTGCCTTGTTGTTAAATACAAAAATTAAAGTGAATAAATTGAGACACACAAAGTATAATAAATTTTACAACAAATTTTTACAGTGTTCTTCTCACAAAGAGCTAATGTATATGTGTTTCAATTAATAACATTTATTTTCTCTCTTCGAAACATTTTTTCTTAGTGTACAAATTATGTATGTTAATATAAGTAAATATGTTATTAGTACCCACACACCGAAAAAATATTCCTTATTTCTTAGATATTATTTTTCTCAGTACATATATTCAAAAGAAAAATTTCGTCCTTTTACAAGAATATTACCAAACTTTACCTACAAAAAAGTTGTTTCAATTTTAATAAGTAAGCCGAATTTTTCCATAAATTTTATATTTTTAATAGAAAATACCAAAAACTTATTAAGATTCGGGATGCATCTTGAATAAATCTGACGCTCATAACAAACTATGATACATTTGCAAATGTAAAAACTCACGAAATACCCGAAACAAGCAACGTTTATTTCAATGTAACATGTATTTTTCTGTGTGTGCTCACGCTGCGAAAAGCAGCACGAGGCAGCATTTTATTGCGAAATAATTGCGGTCTCAGAGCTCCTCTAATGCATTTAATTAAAGAATTCAATACTGTATTCTGAGTATAATTCCTTTATACACAGAATCACGGAATTATATAATGAAGGTTTGTAATTTCATGTTGTTACGCTCTGAATGGGTACAAAGGTCTAAAAACTTCACTCTGCTCTCTCACTGTTAAATGGCTTATCTTTATGCGCGTTTTACATTACTTCTCCCTCCCCCTTTCCGTCTCCCGCTTTAATGTCATTTGATCATTCTTCCTTTAAACGGCTACGACAGATTACTTAGTCGGAATTACAACGCATCTTTTCATGCCTTTACGGACGTCGGGCAAACCAGCAACGACAATAGTAAAATATGACCACTCTCCCTCCTTCCCGCCACGCCTTTTCGCCCTCGCATTCTTCTGTTGCAATTGGAGCGGAGTTGGAATAGATTAAACTTATTCCATGCTGTGTTTTCACGGGGATATTTATGTTTTTAATCGCGCCGAGCATAAAGCGTCAGGCAAGCACGGAGGTGGAATCGTGCGCGTCGCGAATGAAATGGAAATATGGAGATTATCGTGTGTTGAGGACTGTTCCCGACACGAGTTGTTTGAATTTATCGCGAATTCACAGGGTTCCGATATAATCTTGTCGATTTATTGTCACTTTCTCGTCAATGGTGGTCAAACACGATCGCTCTCCGTCGCTCGTAATCAATCAATTTTGCGTTATCGAGTCGAACGGAAAGCCGACTTGGTTTCTCGCGCGAATATAGTTGAGATTCACACGCCCTCTCACAGACGCGAAAGTTCGGCGAGGAGTAAAAAATCTTGTGGGGTTGGTAATTGTTTTGTTCTTTCGCGACACGTTGCAGGGAATTAAGCACGGCGCGGGGCGACAGGTGAAAACAAAAATGACTGGCTTTCGCGC